TTGGCTATTATCAAGAGGGACCAGTCCTTGGAAAAGATATGCTTAGAAAATAGTTTGTTGTTATTGTTGTTATGTACCATTGAGTTGCAACTGACCCATAGCTGACCCTCCAGTGAGTTTTCAGAGGCAGGATAATTGCATGGGAGGAGATTGCCCAAGCTTTGCCTATGGAGCGGCTGGTGGATTCGAAGTGCATGCCTTCAGGTTGGTAGCACAGCTCCTTCCCAGTATGCCACCAGGGAGATCTCCACGAGATGGATTCTTAGGTGACTACTGCAGCAATGGCCTTAAACACAGGGAGACTTTTAAGATGATGCAGATTCAGGCGTGGTTTCTTTCTGTTGCACATGGGACTGTGTGAGTAGGAGCCAGCTTGATGGCACCTGTAACAAGAGCAAATCATTCATCCTTAAAGACAACACGCATGCAGCACAGCAGTGGAAATAGAGTTTACCTGGGCCTCCTGAACTGCAACCTGAATAAGTGCTATGAATATTATTCTTATATGCTGCTGAGTTAGATCCAAGTCAGAGCTGGCCTTGCAGTGGGTTTCCAGAGGCTAGAAACTGCACAGAGGAGATTGTCCATCTTTCTTCCAAGGATGACTATAAATAATTCTTGGATTATGCAGATGATAGGATATTATACTTCGAAAACTCTAAAGGTTCAGCAAGAAAACAATTTGACATAGTCGACCAATTCAGCAAAGTAGCAGGGTACAGGATCAACATACAGAAATCTGTTGGATTTATCTACAGTGACAAAGAGAATCTAGAAATGGACCTAAGAAAAACAATACTCATCACAATAGCTAATCACAAGATTAAATACTTGGGAGCAGATCAAACTAGAGACACAAAACACTTATACAAAGAAGATTACAAAACATTACTACAAGAAACATTTCTAGAGAAATGAAAGAATATACTATGTTCATGAACAGGAAGATTGAATATTGTGAAAATGACAGTTCTACCAAAGGCAATTTACAAGTTCAGTACAAATACTAATTCCAATCTTTAATGAGATGGAAAAAAGCAATTTCTAATTTTATCTGGAATGGAAAGAGACCTCAACTGAGTAAAACACTATTGAAAAAGAAAATTGAGGTGGGAAGCATCACACTCCCTGATTACAAGTCCAGCTGTGGTGGTCAAGACAGCATGGTACTGATAACAGTGACAGACACGTAGATCAATGGAATAGAATTGACAATCCAGAAATCAGCCCATGTATCTAAGGTCAACTGATCTTTAACAAGGAGATAAAATCAGATAACTAGGTAAATGACAGTCTCTTTAACACATGGTGTTGGCAAAATTGGAAAACCATCTGCAGAAAGCTTAAGCAAGACTTACACTTCACACCATACACAAAAACCAACTCAAGGTGGATTTGGAAATAAAACCAAGGACGTAATCAGAGAAAAGCTAGGGAGAACTGTAGAAGCTGTGTTCTACAGCATAAACCTACAACCAGGAGAGAATAAAATAGATGAATGGGGCCTTCTCAGAATCAAATCCCTTTGCATATCCAACAGGGTAAGAAGAAAACCCACACACTGGGAGAAAAAAGACACGGTCATGTAATGTCTGATAAGGTACTTAAACCTAAAACTGATGGAATACTCCAGCACCTCAATGAGAAAAAGGTAAACAACCCAACAACAAAATGGGCACAGGATATGAATAGACAGTTTACCAAAGAAGAAATTCAGATGACAAAGAAACACATGAAAAAATGTTGAAAATCCTTAGCTTTAAAGACATGCAACTCAAAACAACAATGAGATATCATCTCCCCCAGCAACAATAGCAAAGTTCAACAAACAAAAAATGCTGATAAGGTTGTAGAGAAATTTAAACTCTAAATTGTCACTGGTTACAGTGTAAAATAGTACAGCCACAATGGAAGGCTGTCTGGTGGTTTGTCAAAAAGTTGGAAATAGACATACCATTCGACCTAGCAATTCCACTACTGGAAATATAACTCTAAAGAAACCAGAGGCATGACTCAAACAGATGTATGCACAATTATATGAATTGCTGCATTATTCACAATAGCAAAATGATGGAAGCAACCCAAATGCCTAACAAGAAATGAATGGATAGAAAAACTATGGTATACTCGTATAATGGAATATTATGCAGCATTGACAAACAACAAACTCATGAAGCTTTACACAACATAGGCGAGCCTGGAAGACATTAGACTGAGTGACATATCTGAGTCACAAAAGGACAAATACTGATAAAATAGGACAGATAGGGGAGGGGTAGGCAGAAAATGGGGGAAAGAGTGGATAGGTAATGAAAACTGCATTAGAACAGATGAGGGGAAGAACTATCCAAAAGGAATATATGATTAGATATTATACATATGACAACAAGCTGGGACAAGGGGTGCATTGCAGGGTGGGCTGGGGAAGGGACCAGGAGGAAGGGAAGAAAATGTAAAATCAAAAAAGGATGAAAAAATTATAATTACAAAAAGTTAACTAGAAGAGGGGGAAGGGAGGGAGAGGGAGGAAAATGTGCAACAAACAATGAATGAAAAATCCAACATTTCTGTAAACTTTTATTGAAATCACAATAAAATAAAATTTTAAATAGAAAAATTAAAATGAAGGTGAAGGTCCTTATGTGTTGTAGCTATTCTTGAGAATAGATTATTTTTTTTCTAATCTTTCAGGAGGAGGATAAAAGAATACTTTGAAACTTTAGTTACTGCCCAGGGAGATACATCCTGTTGTGATTTTATGTTTAACAATTTCTAAAGAGGCCTTGGTTTATCATTTCCTGAAAAGCTGTCAGCTTAGGAAATGACTTGTGATGATAATACTGAATATACCTCTAATCTTTTTCCTGAAGATAGTGTAAGGTGTTTCTGCACAGTACAAATCATCTTCAAGTAAAATCAAGACCATACTTGATGAACTTTCTTCATGTTAACTTTTATATAGTAAAACATACCACATAGGTATAAGTAGATAGATTGCACTGGGAAAATCTGCAGTTAGGGACCTTTCCAAATTATTGAGGAGTAGCAGTGTCAGTTTGAGGACTAAGATGTGTCTGATTCAGGCCACAGTCTTTCCAGTTACTAGCTATGCATCTGAAACCTGGACAATGAATAAGAATGATAGAAAAATAGTGATGCCTTTGAGCTGTGGTGTTGGAGAAGAGCACTGAAGATCCTTGGATGGCCAAGAGAACAGATACGTCTTGAAGATGGTGCAACCAGAGTGCTCTTTTGAGGCAAGAATGATGAGGCTTCACCTCATATACACTGGGCATGTTGCTTAGAGGTGCTATTCCTTGGAGAGGTAAATGATGTTGGGAAGGGTGGAGGGTTGGAGGAGAGGAAGACCCTCAACCAGGTGGAATGACAGGGTGACTGCTGCAATGAGCTTTTGTGTTTTAGGAAGTGTGAGGATGGCGCAGGATAGAGCAGGGTTCAGATCTCAACTCAGCTCGGCTCAGTGGTCCTAATAACAACAACCACACAGGTATCAGAATGCACCGCTAGTATCAAATGTATGGCTGTGTATCAAAGAAAGCCTGAACCCTGCAGAGTTGTGATCTGACGATCAGTTAGTTATGAAATAGAACCGTGAAACGATCATCTGTTTCTGATTCAGTCTACCATTTTAGAGCCAGCTGTACACTTTCATTTCTCCTGGCTGGTTAGTGATGTTGTGACAGGTGTTTTTATGCACATTGAAAATGCACAGTGAAACCTGGTGTCGGTAAAGTCACTGCTGCAGCCATAACGGTGAGGTCGTGGTTAGGGAACATCCCCACCTAGTGGCCAGAGCACAGACTGGCTTGCAGGAACCTGGCTGGTCTCATTGCCCCAGCTCTTAGCACACCCACCCTCCTTTGGATTTCAGAGGCTGTAAATAAGGAGAGAAAAGATGCCTTTCTTTCTCCTTTGGAGCCGCTAGTGGATTCAGACCACAGGGGAGCTCAGCCTTCGGGTTAACAGAGCAATTCTCTCTGGACTAAGCCATCAAGAGCTCCTAGTTTTCTTCACATTAATATCCTCCGATCGAGCCTGTAACACATATATCACTTTTGAGATTAAACAGAGATGACAGCTAAAATATTACTACTTAAGGTTGTAATCAAAGTATTATGTAAAGAAAATATAGACTGTTGTTGCTGATTGCCTTCAAGTCGAGCACGATTCATAGCAACCCTGAAGCCCCTCTACAACTATCAACATTTATCAAAGTTTATAGAGTTTTCTGGAGGCATATTATTTAGGAAGTGGATGTCACTCCTGCTTCCAAACCTGTCATAGTATGTTATTGTTGTTATGTGCCTTTGAGTCACCTGTGATGTATGTTGTTGTTGTTGTTATGTGCCGTCGAGTCACCTGCAACTCATAACGACCCTATGTACAACAGCCTTAAACTCTGCCCTATTCTGTACCAATCTCACCATCTCCAACACACCTACCCCTCCATACCTCAGTCAGTGATCAATCCATCTCATCGAGGGTCTTCCTTTCCTGTGCTGTCCCTCCACCCCAAGCATGACGTCCCTCTCCAAGGACTGGTCTCACCTTGCAGCACATCCAAAGTATGTCAGACAAAGCTTCAGAATCCTTGCCTCCAAGGAGCAGCCTGGCTTCCCCCTCTCCAGGTGATGTGTAGCGGCCCTGTGTACAGCAGCTCTGAACCCTTCCCTGTCCTGAGCCAGTCTCACTAATTCTGACACACCAACCCAAACTGAAAATTTCCTTTGAAGATTTTCATCTAATTCAAGAAGATAGATTAAAATATAGACAAATAGTCATGAAAGGTTTATTTATAAAGATGCAATGGAGGAAGGCGAGCTAGTACTATCAAAGGGAGAGGTGCCCTCACCAGTTCCATTATTTTATTTTTAAAATCTGGCAATAATGACACAATTATCATTACTTTCGGTGCAGCAGACAACAAATATGACATCTTAGGATGCATTTGATTTTCTGTTTTTTTCTCTTAATATCAGGGCCGAATACAGAGCAGAAAAACTTCCTTCACATTCCTTTGAGGTTGACCATGAGGACGTCGACAAGGATGAAGTAAGTAAATTGTTGGAAGCCAGGTGTTTTAAACATGAGGACAGTTATAATTCCTGTGTTTCATTAGAAGTGCTTCTTATTTGAAACCATTTTCCAGAAGCTGCAGGAACTGTTGTGTTAGGGCTTTTAGTCAGAATGACTGACGTTTTGAAATTGAACATGAGTATCAGAGATGAGTCAGGAAGAGAAAAGAGAGTGTCATTTTTTAAGTTGCAGTGTCTCGGATCTGGCATTCCCAGAAGAAATCGCTGTGACGCTAATGATACCTTTTGTACAGGACACAACATCCCACTCGTCTTCCAAGGGCGGTGGTGGGCCAGGAGGGACTGGAGTATTCAAATCAGGCTGGCTTTACAAAGGGAATTTTAACAGCACCGTGAACAATACTGTCACAGTTCGGGTAAGGAGACGTCAAGAGTCATCTTTGTTTCTGTCACCTTTCTTGACATCCCCACTTTGGGTCGTATCACAGAGGAGACCCATTTACATTAAGTTGATGTTTTACATCATATTTTATTTATGAGGACATAAGATATTCTCCTCAAGAACAGTGTTCCAGAAATGTAGAATTTCTAAAGAAATCTGGACAATTCCAATTCCCATGAATAATAATATATTGCAATCTGAAGCACCTCTTTATAATTTCTCCTTTACTTAGTCTTTTAAGAAGCGTTACTTCCAGCTGACTCAATTGCCAGACAATTCCTACATCATGAACTTTTACAAAGATGAGAAGATCTCCAAAGAACCCAAAGGCTGTATCTTTTTGGATTCTTGTACAAGTGTGGTGCAGGTGAGTAGAAACCCACTCTCCTACTTGTTTGTTTGATCAAAACATTAATTTGTCTGTTCATTAGTTGTATATTAAAAAAATATTTATAAAATGTATAGTGTGAGTCATCAGTCTAGACTCTAGGAATTCAAGGAAAACAAGGTAATCTAGGTCTCTACTTTTATGACATTTCCTTTCTAATAAAGAAAAAGAAATAGGAAACAAAGAATCAGTGAGTAAAACTTGCAGTAAATAAAATATACAGGGTAATGGAAGAGAGGGAGATGAGGATTGAGGTGGTTGGTGGTGGTGGTCGTGGTCATGGTGGAATTGGTGGTTGTGGTGATGATAATGGTGGTGGTGATGATAGTGGAAGTGGTGATGTTATTGGTGGTGGTAGTTGTGATGGTGGTGATGATAATGGTAGAAGTGGTGGTGAGGGTGGTGATAATGATGATAGTGGTGGTGGTGGTGGTGGTTGTGGCAGTGACGCTGGTGATGGCGCTAATGGTGGTGGTGATGCCACTGATGGTGGTGATGATGATGTGATGATAGCGATGGTGGTAGTGGTGATTATAGGGATAGTGGCAGTGCAGGTGGTGATGGTATTGGTGGTGGCGGTAGCAGTGATGGTGGCAGTGGTGGTGGTGATAATAGGGATGGTAGTGGTGGTGATGGTGGTGGTGGTGGTGATGGTGGTGGTGATGGTGGTGGCGGTGGTGGTGGCGATGGTGGTGGTGATGGTGGTGGCAATGGTGGTGGCAATGGTGGTGGTGGTGATGGTGGTGGTGATGGTGGTGGTGGTGGTGATTATAGGGGTGCTGGTGGTAGTGCGGGTGGTGATGGTAATGGTGGT